TCAGCCCTCCTAGTAGGTGGAAGCACAGGCGTGTGCCACCATACCTGGCTAATTTTTGGATTTATTGTAGCGACGAGGTCTCGCCATGTTGTGCAGGCTGGTCTCGAACCCCTGGGCTGAGGCAGTCCTCTCACCTCCGCCTCCCAGTGTGCTGAGATCATAGGTGTGAGCCACTGTGCCTGGCCCAGCTGGGCTTTGGAAGCACGGAGGACTCAAGGATGGCGCCTAGGTGTTGCCTTGGTGACTGAGTAGCAGTGCCCAGCACTGAGGTGGCTAGGTGTGGGTCAGAGCCCAGGCTTGTATGGATCCTGTTGGCTCAGCAGTTCTGAGGGGTCCGCACAGAGAGCTCAAGTGCCAGGGATGGGGTGAGGCCACCTGGGAGGGAGCGGGACGAAAAGCCTGGCCCCGCCCACTCACTGGGCCCCTCCTCCTCGTCTCCTCCTCTTTGCCCCCTTCCCTTCCTTCTGGGGCAGGTCCTGGAGCTCCTGAGGGTGGCCTGGAAGAGGCGACTCATCTTCACGGTAGGGACGTCCAGCACCACAGGCGAGACCGACACCGTGGTGTGGAACGAGATCCACCACAAGACAGAGATGGACCGCAACGTGACGGGCCACGGCTACCCTGACCCCAACTACCTGCAGAACGTGCTGGCCGAGCTGGCGGCCCAGGGCGTGACCGAAGACTGCCTGGGGCAGCAGTGACTGCCAGCTCCGCTACCCCTGCCTTGGTGGCCGCCCCGCTCTCCTTGGCTGGTGGGGCTGCCCCTGGGTGGGCCGGCAGGAGGGTGCCTGTCCTGAGAGGCTGGATGTTCGCTGGGGCACAGGGTGTGCTCCCCCTGAAGCCAGGGCTTCCCCTGCCTGCTGCTCCCTCCGCCCCTCCAGGCTCGGGTCTGTTGGGAGTTGGGCATCCCTGGGCAGTGGCGCCTCTGGGGCTTAAGATGCAGCTACCTCAGGGCACGGGGCCCCTCTGTCCTTCAGGGGCTGCTTTGGGCCCACTGTGCCTCGGGCCTGGCATGGGGCGAGTCGACACTGCCCCAGCCTGGGCGGGCAAAAGTTCTGGGTCAGCTTCTCATACCTCAGATGTTGTTTGCAATAAATGCTCTACAGCCAAAGCCAGCAGGCCCTCGTGCATTTTGTCAGTGGAGAGCAGCGCACACGTCCTGCTGCATCAGAGCAGGAAGCTGCCCCTTCCTTCCACCCCTGCTGGAAACATTGAGGCTTGGAGAGTGCATTGTACCGGCCCGGGCTGCTTCCTTGTCTCCCATGCAGGTCCTTGAGGTGTGCAGTCCACCAACCCCGTGCCTGTCATCCCAGAACAGCCCCTCACATTTGTGTGCCCAGGATTCTGGCTTACAAAATGCCATTCACATAGGATGGGTGCTGCTCTCTTCATTTTACGGATGAGAAAACAGGCTCAGAGGGCAGTGACTGGCCCAAGGGCCCAGGCGGAAACCCTCAGAGTTCCATCCAGTTCTTCTTGACTTTCTGAGAATAATCAGATACTTCCTGCCTGCTTGGTAGGAGCAAGCAAGGGACAGGTGAGACTGGAGGAACAAGCGGGCCATGTCATGACTGGAGGCCAGAGGCACTTTCACCTGGTGTACCCCTTTCTCTACTGAAAAAAGTAAAGTAGGCCGGGCTCGGTGGCTCAGCCGGTGATCAGCGCTTTGGGAGGCCAAGGTGAGAGGATTGCCTGAGCCTGCTGGTTCGAGACCCATCCGGGCAACTTGGCAAGACCTCGTCTCTACAATAAGTAAAAAACTAGCCTGGCGTGGTAGTGCACACCTGTAGTTCTAGCTACTTGGAAGGCTGAGGCAGAAGGATTGCCAGAGCCCAGCAGGTCGAGGCTGTGGTGGCTGGGAGCATGTCACTGCCCTCCAGCCTGGGTAGACAGAGTGAGACTTCAACTCAAAAAAAAAATGTTGTTTTACTACGTGTTGGTATAAAGATGAATATATTAACATATATTAGAGCATCTCCTCCCATCTAAAAGTTCATTTTTTTTCCTTCACTCTGTCACCCAGACTGGAGTGCAGTGGCCGCTCCCAGCCACCACAGCCTCGACCTGCTGGACTCCGGCGATCCTTCCGCCTCAGCCTTCCGAGTAGCCGGAATTACAGGCATGCACTACCACGCCCGGCTGATTTTTTGATTTATTGTAGAGATGAGGTCTCGCTGCGCAGGCGGGTCTCGAACCTGCGGGCTCAGGCAATCCACTCACCTCAGCCTCCCAAGACGTGGGATTACAGGCTGAGCCACCAAGTCCGGCTTCAGAACCATTTTCAAGGGCTCCCATAAGTGTTGTGGGCCCAGGGCACGGAGCCTCCTGGTCAGTTGATCCTGGGGAAGAGGGCACTGAAACCTCAATAAAGGACCTGGCTTGGCTGGACCCCAGACCTGTTTGGTTCCACGTTTGAGACTCTGCACTCCCGTGGTGTCAGGGTCACACTCTCCCAGCAGGGTCTCCAGAATGTTAGGCCCGCTGGGGGGGTGGGGGGTGGTGGTGTGTGATCCAATGCATGAAAGATGCAAAGAATTGCACAGAAAATAAAGTTTATTTAAAAAGTAAATTAGAGTCAGGCTTGGTGGCTCAGCCTGTAATCCCGCACCTTTGGGAGGCTGAGGTGAGTGGATTGCCTGAGCCCGTGGGTTCGAGACCCGCCTGGGCAACTTGGCGAGACCTCATCTCTACAATAAATCAAAATATTAGCCAGGCGTGGTAGCGCGCGCCTGTCATTCCGGCG